TTTTTTTTGTCAAGTTTTTTTTAACTTGACAACCTAAGGGAAAAGAAGTTGGTGGCCCTGACTGAATAGTCAGATATTGCATATTTTAAAAATTCTTGCGGCACACCAGTGTACTATGGCATAACGGTTGAAAATCACTGGCTTAGAGATTCATACAGGTTTGCTGATGTATTTATGTATCAGTTATGGTGTCTTGGACCCCAAGACAAAAAAATCTAGCCGAAACCGGTTTAGCTCAGTGGATAGAGCGTTGGCCTATGGACTGAAAGGTCCTGGGTTCAATTCCAGTCAAAGGCACATGCCCAAGTTGTGGGCTTGATCCCCAGTAGGAGGCATGCAGGAAGCAGCTGGTCAATGATTCTCTCTCATCATTGATGTTTCTATCTCTCCCTCTCTCTTTTCCTTCCTCTCTAAAATCAATAAAAATATACTTAAAAAAGAATGTTACTAATAAAGGAGTATACAAAGAGATGCTAGGAAAATTAAAACAGAAATAAAACAGAACATGTAATATTAATACCAGATTCAGTGGAATTTAAGGTTCAAAGCTCTAAATCAGGTAAGTGGGACACTACGTATTGATGTTTAAAAGAAAATTTTATTTCAGTCATAATTATGTATCCACTAAACAACATAGCAGATCAATAAATACAAAAAGCAAAAACAAGTTGAAATGCAAGAAACAAGAACAAATCAAAATACAATTGCACTGGTATATTCAATTTAGTTCTCTCAGAACTAGTAGATAAAAAATAAATACAGATAGAGTGAAAATGAATATCACAATCAATAAGCATACACAAACAGAGGGAAATCTAGTGGATAAAAATAAATAAGAATATGGAGAAACTGATGAATAAATAAAATTAATAAACACACACAGAGAGAAAAAGACAGACAGACAGACACACACACGCACAGAGGTAGAAAGAAACAGAAATAGAGAAAGACTGAAAGAGACAGAGAACGATGCACTGGGAGAATCTCACATTCCTTGAACAGAAAATATACATTTTAATAAACTCAATCATATGCTCAAGCAAAGAAACTTCTAATAAAAAATTAAAAAAATAGAAAATCTTAGCCACTAGTTTAAAATCCTTAATAACTTTATATAAAGAACCACAGCTCAGCAACAAGAAAAAAAAATACAAATAACCCAATTAAAAATGGGTAAATGGGTGAATAATTTGATAGACAATTCTTTCTTTAAACATGGAAGGTTATTTGTTTGTTTTTTAATTGATTTTAAGAGAGAGAGAAAGGGAGAGGGAGAGAGAGAAACATCAATGTGAGAGCAAAACATTGATTTGATTGGCTGCCTCCTGCATGCCCCCCACTGGGGATTGAACCAGCAACCATTTGGCGTATGGGAAGACACTCAACCAACTGAGTTACATTGGCCAGGTCTGATAGACATTTCTTCAAAGAAGATAGGAAGCACATGAAAAGATGCTGAACATCATTAGTCACTAGGGAAATGCAAATCAAAACTACAATGTAATATCACTTCATACCCACGATATAGACTACAATAAAAAAGACAGACCATAAGTGTTGGGAAGGATGTGGGGAACTTGGAACTCGGAACTCTCAGACATTGCTGGTGGAAATGTAAAATGGCACAACCACTTTGGAAAACAGTTCACAAGTTCTCAAAAAGTCAAGCATAGTTACCCTATGACTCATTGATTCCACTCCTAAGTATATACCCGCCCCCCAAAGGATTGAAAACAGATGTTCAAACAAATACTTGTACATGATGTTCACAGCAGCATTATTCATAAGAGTCCCAAACTGGAAACAACACAAATGTCTATCAATTGATGAATAGATAAATAAAATGTGATCTATTTATATAATGGCTATTATTCAGCCATAAAAAGGAATGAATTACTGATCCATACTGCAACAAGAATGAATTTGGAAAACATTATGCTGAGTGGAAGAAGCCAGACACAAATGACCACATAGGTATATATATATATTATGTGGTTCCATTTAAATAAAATGTCCAGAATAGGCAAATCCATGGAGACAAAAGCAGATTAGTGTTTTTCCAAGGGCGGGGGGGAGGGGTAAATGAAGAGTCCTGCTAATGAGTTTGGTGGGGTTTTTTTTTAGGTGGTGAAATGTTCTAGAATTAGTAGTAATGGTACACGATTTTGGAATATATTAAAACCAAATAAATTATATATTTTAAAAGTATGGATTTTATGGCATATGAATTAAATCCCAATTAAAAGATGATCATGGCTTTATAAGACTGGTCCCCAATTATGTCTCCAACTCAATGTCCCTATCGCTTACCAGGCTATGGATACAGTGACTTCATTTTCTTTTTATGGAATCATTTAGACATATTTCAATCCAAAGATCTTTGTACTTGTGATTGTCTTTGTTAAGTTTTCTTTAATATCATTTCCATTCCCTACAATGCACATAGTGAGATAATACTTTGATGTTAATTTATTATAATCACAGGTTTTTTTAAAAATATATTTTATTGATTTTTTACAGAGAGGAAAGGAGAGAGAGAGTGAGTCAGAAACATCGATGAGAGAGAAACATCGATCAGCTGCCTCCTGCACATCTCCCATGGGAGATATGCCTGCAACCCAGGTACATGCCCCTGACCGGAATCGAAACGGGGACCCTTCAGTCCGCAGGCCGATGCTCTATCCACTGAGCCAAACCGGTTTCGGCTATAATCACAGTTTTTAAAGCAGAAGTTTCAGCATTGTCACCAACTGGAGTAGATGCCATATTGCCAAGTGAGGAAATGGCCCAGATGCAACATATACAAAGGAGAAGGTGTCTAGAATCTGGCCATATGATTTTTAAGGATCATATGGCCAGATTCTATTAAGGGTTTGAAGGATCAGGAGTTGATGAGTAAAAGAGAGAGGATTTATTTGGAGAGAGCTGATGCTGTGCTGTGAGCCCCTCCACTCCTACTCAAGAAGAGAAATATGTGTGGGTTCTTTCCTCTTCATCTCACTGAGAGAGAGAGAGAGAGAGAGAGAGATTTTAAGGAGTTCACTCAGCTAATCACATACATTGTCTGTATTTTGTGGGGACCCAGCTGATTTCTTCCTAAAAAATCGAAAGGGTGAGCCATTGCCTTGCATTGGGCAAAGAAGAGATATCTACTTCACCTGCACATCTCAAGTTTCTTGGGCAAAGGTGGGTGACTATTTCCCAAGAACTAGAGCTGGGTCAGATGTGAGTGATTTCTGGTGTGGGGTTGCTTAGGTTCTGTTCAAGAGGGTCACCTGGAGAGGAAAATGCCAAAGGTTTCCAGCAACATCTCCTTGAAGTTCATTGAGGAAGCACAAGATTCCTCCAGGATGAGGAAGGTGTAGAAAGGAACTTATTGTTATCAAGGGAATTTCAGGGCAGTGACTGGGTAAGAGGGGCATTATCTTCATACAACCCACAAAGGCTATCATAGAGAAAGGCTCTAACTGGGGAACATAGAGGCTAAATGGCAACAATAGCATCAGCCAAGTAGAGACTTTCCTACTTCCTTTTCCTCTTTCTTCTGGGTTCCAACTGTAGCAAGATGGGGCAGAGAAGAGTAGAAGTGTTAAGCGGGAAAGAGGACTGACCGCAGGCTTCCAACCAGGAGGGTGCTTGAACTAGGGGAGGGAAACAAACCACTATTAACTCAAGTCTGGAGTGTTCATTCTCCCGTAGGCTTGGACCTTTTAATTATTGAGCTGAGATTGCATTTTGCATCTTAGGGGACCATAGGAACTTATATTAGAAAAATTTCTGCCCAAGCTTTTATTCTCTCTTTGCTATGACTTCATGCATGTTCTATTTTTTGAACTTAAAGAGCACCATTTATATGATGTTTCATAATCCACGAAGTACTGTCAATTTCATTACCTTATTCAATTGCCTACCACCCTCATAAAGTCAGCATGACCACTCCCATGTTATAGAGGAGAATACTGAGACCTAGCTAGGTTCTGGAAGAGCTCCCCCTTTGCAAACTTCATGAAAGTGTTTCTTGGTGAAGGTTGACTGGTAGTTTTCAGCATTGTACATTACTGTTACCTCCCCACAGCTCTTATGCTGCCTACCTTCCAGTTCCAACTCTGGGTAATTTGAAAACTACCCCTTTACCTTGACATATCTCCAAGGGGTATGTGAAGAATTTCTTCCCAGATTGGGAGGTGTATCCAGAGTTGCAGGTACAGTTTGTGCCATCGACACAAACAGCATTTTGGGGGCACGGAGGACAGGCACCTGCAGGGAGAAGAGAGGCAGGTCAGATCCACCTGGGTTAAAAACTCTTGAGTTATTATTTGGCTTTGCTTCTGAACAGGGCCCCTCAAGACTAAGGGGGACTTGTACGTTTTCCCTTTTGTGAGGTCTCAGTGCAGTAAAAAAAAAAAATAGAGATACTATTTATATACCTTACAAAGTGATCAATCTGATAAGTCTAGTACCCACCTGACACCATACATAGTTCCTAAAACATTGTTGACTATATTCTTTATGCTGTACTTTACATCATGAGACTATTTTTTTTATTTAAAAAGTTATTATTATTTTAAAATTTATTTTGTATTGTTGATAGTATTACAGATGTCCCTCATTTCCAACCCCCACCCTTTGCTGGCTTCCACCCAGCCCCCACCCCATGCCAGGCCTTCACTGAACTATTGTCTGTGTCCATGGGCTATGCATATCCTAATATATAGAAAGCCAGGGGCCACCACGACTAAAACAACTGGACGGGTGACCAAACAGCAGGCTGGGTGGGGCAACAAGGCTGGTAGGGGGGTTAGTGAGGGATGACCAAACAACTGAACAGCAGGCTGTGTGGGGTGAACAGGCCTGCTTGGGGGGCAGTTGGGGGCGACCAGGCTGGTGGGGGGGCAGTTAGGGGTCCCATGATTGATTGCCCCAAAGAGGGAGGCCCAGGCTACCTGACCAGAGGTGCTGCGGCAGGTAGGCAGAGCCCCTCTTGTGCAGTGATTGATTGTGGAGCCCCGGTTGGGTAGGTGGGGCCCCCCTCTGCTGGGCAATTGATTGCAGGGTTCCACGATCGATTGCCCAGCAGAGGCAGGTCCCAGCTACCTGGCCAGCAGCCACAGAGGGAGGCCCAGGCCACTGGCCAGTGACACTGTGGCAGGTATTCAGGGCTGGCCAGCAATTGCCCTGCAGAGGCGATCATCGCAGCAACCCTGGTCAGATAGCCTGGGCCTCCCTCTTTGGGGTAATCAATCATGGGGCTCTGCAATCGGTCACTGCACAGAGGATGGCCTGGGCCTCCTTCTGTGGGGCTATCGTGGGGCGATGGTGGGGCCCTCCCCAACCAATCGCATTGCACCCATCTTGGCTGGTCTGGCACCAGTGCATGTCATAGCATGGCCAACCAGGCAGTTGTTCTGCTGTTTGGTTGATTTGCATATTACACTTTTATTATTATAGATATCCTAAGAATCCTGAAACACCAACCATGTTCATAGCAGTGTTATTTACAATAGCCAGGCCAGCTAAGTGATCACACCCCATGTCTGTTGCCTATTGCCTGCAGAGGGAGGCAGCTGGTGGTGTGGTGGGGAAGAGGGGGGGGGCACTGCCACACAGATGGCAAGCAGTAGCAGTGGTGGAGGTGGGGTCAGCTGCTGGCAGCTGGGGGAAGGAAAGCCCCGATAGGCCCTGATCACTGGTCAGGTCTAGGGACCCTATCCAAGGGGTCCTGGATTGAGAGAGGATGCAGGCCGGGCTGAGGGACCCCCGCCCATGCATAAATTTTGTGCACTGTGCCTCTAGTGTTCTTAGAAGTGGGATTACTGGGTCAAATGGCGGTTCCATTTTTAAATTTTTGAGGAAACTCCGCACTGTTTTCCATAGTGGCTGCATCAGTCAGCATTTCTACCAGCAGTGTACTAGGGTTCCTTTTTCTCCACATTCTCACCAACACTTGTCATTTGTTGATTTGTTGATGGTAGTCATTCTGATAGGTGTGAGGTGATACCTCATTGTTGTTTTAATTTGCATTTCTTTGATAATCATTGACTTTGAGAAAACCTTAAAGATTTCACCAAAAAACTACTAGATTTAATAAATTAACTTGGCACTGTAGCAGGATACAAAATAAAAACCCAGACACCAATGGAATTTTTATACATTAATAATGAATTCTCAGAAAAAGAAACTAAAAAAAAAAAAAAAAATCTAGGCAAAGAACTAAGTCAGAATTTCTTATTGAATTGTTCATTGCATCACTGTATATCCTCTACTCCAATAATTTCTATAAGTTAATAACAATGTACCTACCTATATAGTTTAAGTTTAAAAAATTTGGCTCAAAAGAAATTTCAATTGTTGTACCGTTGATATTTGGCTCTGTTGACTAATGAGTTCACTGACCACTGCCCTAGGAGATGTATCTGCAAACATATTACTACAAGAGATGTCTGAGATTTTGTTGTCTATGGTTTCTTCTAGGAACATTTGCCTTTTTAATTATAATGTGTCTTGGGTCTCTTTTTTTGTAGTTGTTAATCCTCAAACAAGAATATTTTTTCCACTACTTTTTAGAAAGAGTGGAAGGGAGGGGGAGAGATGGAGAGAGAAACATTAATGTGAGAGACACATTGATTGGTTTCCTCCTGCACGCACCCAGGAGGTATATTTGGGCCCAGGTTCGAACCTGTAACCAAAGTATGTTGCTCTTAATGGGAATCGAACCTGGGATTTTTCAGTCCTAGGGCTGACTTTCTAATCACTTAACTAAACTGGTCAGGGCTCTTTGAGTTCATCTTGACTGGGACTCTCTGTACTTCCTGAACTTTTTCTTCACCAGGTTAAGGAAGTTTTCTGTCATTATTTCTTCAAATGGGTTCTCTATCCCTTGCTCACTTTCTTCTCCCTTTGGGACCCCTATAATTCACATGTTGTTCTGATTCATGTTGTCTCAAAGTCCCCTTAAACTATCCTCATGCTTTTTAAGTGTTTTTCCTTTTAGTTGCTCTAATTGAGTGTTTTTTCCTACGTTGTCTCACAAATCACTGATTCAATTCTCTGCTTCATCCAGCTTACTTCTAATTATTTCCAGTGTATTCTTGATGTCAGTATAGTATTCTTCATTTCAGACTAGTTTTTATTCATGGTTTCCATGCCCTTTTCATGTTGATGTAGTTTCCTCTAAGTTCCTTGTAGTTCCATTAAGTTCTTTGTAGTTCCTTGAGCATCCTTATAAGCATTACTCTGAACTCTATGTCTGAAAATTTGCTTACCTCCGTTTCATTTACCTCTTTTTCTGAAGATTCATCCCCTTTTTCTTTGTCTCCCCATTTTAGTTGTCTCTTTGTGTTTGTTTCTATGTATTAGATAGAACTGTTTGATTTTCAGTTTTCATGGGGTGGCCTTTTGTAATAAATGTCCTGTGGGACCCAGTGGTGTAGTCACCTTGAACTCCTGGGCTGGATGCTCTAGGAGTGTCCCTTTTGTGGGTTATTTGGGCTCTCCTGTTGTAATCGGGTCTTGATTGCTGTTGTTCTGTTCATGGGTGAGATTTTCTCTCAAGCTGGCTGACTGTGAGGCTCAACCCTGAACATGTCATGAGCTGTTGTACAGTGTGACTGCCAGATGAAGAGACATAGGACAACATCCTGAACAGAGGAATGTTTGTCTTCATGGAGTTTGGGGTCTGTTCCTGTATACAGCGTAGAAGATCTATAAGTCTGTGGGCAAATCCAAGAGAAATGTCCTTGAGTCAGTCACATCATTAGGTGCTGACGGCCATCGGTGCTGACCTTTGCCTTTGGAGCCATGGCTGAGGTTGAGGCCTCCATGTTTCCATGTTTTCAGTATGAGCAGAGGCAGCGGAATATCAAGTAGATACCTTGGCTCCAGAGTCGCACTCCCTGTGACTTTTTATAACTGGCAATTTGTACTTCTTAACCCTTTTTCTTTTTCACCTATTCCCCCCCACTCCCCAGCCCTCTTCTATATGGCAACCATCAGTTTTTTCTCTATACCTAAGAATTTGTTTCTCTTTTGTTTGTTCCCTTTGTTTTATAGATTCCACATACAAGTGAGATCATACGACATTTGACTTTCTCCATCTGAATTATTTCACTTAGCATATACCCTCTAGATCTATCCAGGTTACGGCAAATGGCAAGATTTCATAAATGTCTAATGATTAAGTTGTACACCTGTAACTAATATATTGTATGTCAACTATACCTAAAAAATAAATTAAAAAAAATCTAAAAAATATAAGAAACACCGAACCCAAGTTGTAGAGACTGTGCATAATGTAGAACTGGGGTTGGCATTAAACAAATTAATGTTAACAGAAAAATTTCAATTAATCATAACTGTGTCATTCTCAAGATCATTGCAGAATTTATAAAAGGAGAAGGAGTTAGTCAAGACTTGGGGCCCTGGGTTCAATTCTGGCTTCACTACTTAATAGCTGTGTGTTTTTGCACAAGTATCTTAAACTCTCTGTGCCTCAATTTCCTCATTTGTAAAATGGGTTATTGTGAGGAGTGAATTAATACATCGTGCTGGGAATATGATGGGGTCCCACTATGTAGAGCTTGGCTACTCAGAATGCATCCCCTGGATAAAAATGCAGAATCTCAGACCTCACCCTAGACCTTCTGAACCATAATCCAGTGAGATCTCCAAGGATTTAAAGCTAACCTGAAATGATCTTGTTCATTTTGTGTTGATGTGCTTATAATCAGAATGAAATGGTGACCATCATGCTGTTTCTCCCCACTTGAGTGTTTACTTCAAAAGACTTCTTTTTATTCATTGTTCTGTCTCCACATTGTATACACTGTGGGTACTAAAAGCAAACAAATAGACTAATAAAAGTAACATAAAAAGATAAGTTAAAATATATCCAAATTTGATAAAATGATCAATTAAAAAAGAAACAACACAGGAGCAAGCCTCTTTTTCTAGATTGTCAGAGGATGTGGGTGTCCCCAGTTCTTTAGTCTACCCCCTCTCTGGTCTCTGATGATGGAAGCGGCAGGCTTTTTGCACTCACAGTTGGCCTTCTGAATCATGACTCCTGACAAACTCAGCAGAATGCAGAGTCCTGGAACAGGGAAAAGGGAGAGACATGAAACTATTGAGAAAAGATCTCAGGAAATTCTCCAAGGACTGTGTATCTGTTATCTATTACTATAAAAAAAACCATCACAAAATGTAGCAGCTTAAAATAATCACCTTCATTTTATTATGATACCCGTGGGCCAGAGATTCGGGAAAAGCCTAACTGGGTGATTCTGACGCAGGGTTTCTTAAAAAATTGCTGCAGTTACATAGTGGCTGGGGCTGGAGTGGCTGGGGCTGGAGTGGCCGGGGCTGGAGTGGCTGGAAACTATTTGGGCATTACTGTCCCTTCATGTGGTCTCAGGGCCTAGGGTAGTTTGGGCTTCCTCCCAACATGTCAACCTTGGTCAGGCTGCACAGGAATCAAAGTTTATCTCATGTCCACCAAGCTAGTCCACCCTCATCTACATCCATCACCCGCAAACCCTTCCATTACTGGGAACCACTTTTTATTTTTATTTATTTATTTTTATATATATTCCACTGATTTTTTACAGAGAGGAAGCAAGAGAGACAGAGAGCCAGAAACATCGATGAGAGAGAAGCATCGACCAGCTGCCTCCTGCATGCCCCCCACTGGGGATGTGCCCGCAACCAAGGCACATGCCTTTACCGGAATCGAACCCGGGACCCCTCAGTCTCCAGGCCAACGTTTTACAATGGATTTCTATACCTTATTCATCTTGTATAACAAAAACTTTAGAATCATGGAAAAACAACTCCTCATTTAACCCATCCCTCTAGCGTCTGGAAACAACCATTCTATTTTCTGCTTCTATGAGGTTGACTACACTAGATACTTCCTATAAGTAGAATCATGCAGTATTTTTTCTTCAGTGTCTGGCTTATTTCACTTAGCATAATGTCCGCAAGGTTCATTCATATTGTCACAAATGGCAGGACTTCCTTCTTTTTAAAGGCTGAATGTTATTTAAGTGTATGAATATACTAAGTTTTCTTTATCTACTCATCAGCAGGACCCACTTTCTTAGGGGGTAATCAAAATTGCAAGTAAGGTTACTAGTCACGAGAGCTAAATTTCAGCCAGTTCATACTAAAAGAACTATGCTGGCGGTTCATATTGAAACATTCCCACCCCATTTGTCAATAATCATGGCCAGAGCCAACTAGTAAAACATATGACTGCAAAGTGTTTCCTAAAACTCAGGCAATCTGGGCCCTATCACATATCCTCAAGGCTAGTCTTTAGGGTTTTCTTTCTGCCCCACCAGCACCACCACTCTCTATAATATGTGCATGCATCTTAAATCAGAGTTTCTGGAAAGTCATCAGCATGCTGGAATGCCAGAGCTCTAAAAGACTTTCGAAATCATCCACGGACTCTTTAGTCCTCAGTTTCAGTTTGCTCAGACACCAGCATGGCCAACTTGGGTATTGCCATTTCCTGTTATTGGGACAATAACATAAATGAGGAAGCACATAAAGTCTGGCAGAAATCCTCCATAAATGCTAGCTGCCTTAAGAAAAAGAGAAAACAAAAAGGGGAAAAATGCTGGCTGCCTCTATTATCATTTTATTTGCATGAGAATCCTTTTCTAATTCTTGACCTGATGCTCATTTGATTCCACTACTTGTTACATCCTGTGATGAGGGCAGAGAGTTCATGGATAACCAAAAGTCACAAATAATCCATCTCTGAAGTGTCTAGGACTCTGCCTCCAGTTGCCCCCAAAGCAGGAAATATCTTGCTTGGGCTTCTCGCATTTAAATAGCATACTCTCTCACTTAAACTTAATTCCACAGACATCTCTTCTATGTGAGACTAGAGGCCCAATGCATGAAATTCATGCAAGAGTAGGCCTTCCTTCCCCCTTCTGCTGGCACCAGCTTCCCTCCGGCACTCAGCTTTGTACAGAAGGTCGTCTGGCCTAATTAGCATATTATGCTGGCACTCAGCTTTGTACAGAAGGTCGTCTGGAAGAATGTCTGGCCTAATTAGCATATTATGCTTTTATTATTATAGATGTCATGGGAGGGAACATGGCATTTGTTTTCAAGTAGTCTATATTATTTTGATAGAATTTATGATGTGTCTCTCCCTCTGAAAATAAATAACTGTGAGGTTTTAAGCAACTCTATAACCTTTCCATAATGCTACTTCACATCTGTAATGTGAAGATGCTGTGTCATAATGAGTGGAAAACATTTTAGCTTGATGCCAGGCTAAAGCAGGTGCTTGATAAATGTAAACTATGATTTTGTGGCTGTTGACAGTTCTTTGACCTGGAGCCCGAAGGATGGACTGGATTTCAGAGTTGGGGAACTATCTACAAAGAAGTTGTGGTTGAAGCCACAGGATTATGGATTCCTTCAGGGAGAGGGAAAAGACAAAGAGATGAAGACCCCAAGCAGAATCCTATGGAAAGAATATTATAGCAAAGATCTGGAGCCAGGTGGCTTGGGTAGAACCCTGGCTCTGCCATTTATAAAGTGTGTGACTTTTGACAAGCAACAAAACCTCTTTGTACCCCTGTTTTCTCATCTGTATAATGGGGATAATAATAGTATCTGCCTCATGGGCCTATTGAGAGGATTAACTGGGTTAATACATATACGGTGCAGGGTGAGTGTTCAAAAATTTTTGGTTGTTATTAATAACAGCCTTGGTACAGGAAAAGGAAAAGGGTTGAGGGAGAAAGAATAGCAAGAGAGGCAAAGAATGAGTTAGGGCAGTGCTAGATCAAAGAAGTTGTCAGGAAGGAGAAGATATCAATTAAAAACCAAAACCTGTATAGAAGAAGGTGAACAACTCACTGGATTAGACCATAAGAAAAATTTTAGGGATATTTGGGAGCATAGTTTAAATAGGGTGGTGAAGTAAGAAACCATAATTTTCATATGTAATACCCTTTGTAATACTTTAAGCAATAAAACAATAAAAAAACCCATAATTTAAGAGAAAAGGAGAGTGCTCAAAGCAAAACAGAGAAAAGAGAAGAAGGAAAAGACAGTTAATTGTTTACCTGGGGAGCTCCTGAAAGGGGGTAGGTTAAGATACAGTCATGGTCAAGCTTACACATACCTTGAAGAAGTGATGGCCCTCTCATTCCTGCATGCAGGTAATCCTTGCCAGCCAACTCTGAAAGCTCCGTACTGTGCTTTAAGCTAACCACTTTCCCTGTGTCAAGGTGAACTCATGAGAAATGACTAAGGAAATTGTTGTCAGAAAAGTGAACTTCTCATTTTCCACCATCAGACCATGGTTCTGTTTTTTATGTTTATTTTCTATGCACTGACTTGGGAAATTATTCTCAGAAAAGTGAACTTCTCTTCTTTCACCATCAGACCCACAGTTCTGCTTTTTATTTTTAAAATTTCCACCAAAGGATATGTTTTTATTGATTCTAGAGAGAGACAAAGGGAGAGGGAGAAAGGGAGAGAGAAACATTGATGTGAAAAACATCGATAGGTTGCTTCCCATATGCACCCCGACCAGGGATCAAACACACAACCTAGGTATGTGCTCTGTCTGGGAATCTAACCCGTAGCCTTTTGGTGTATGGGACAATGCTCCAACCAACTGAGCCACCCAGCCAGGGCACATGGATCTGCTTTTTATTTTTTTATTTTCTATGTCTTTCTACACTTGTTTTCTTTTCTTAAAATTGAATTTATTGAGTGACATTGGTTCACAAAACCATAAGGTTTCAAGTGTATAATTCAATAAAACATCATCTGCACAGTGTCTCTTGCACCCATTGCCCCAAGCAAAGCTGCTCTCTATACCCATTTTCTCCCTTTGCCCACCTCCAACTACCTCTCACCCTCCTTTTCTGCTGGCTATCACCATATTGTTGTTTGTGTCTTTGTGTTATGTATATATGTTTTTTTGCTTAATCCCTTCACATTCTTTCATCCAGTACCCCCCCACCCCACTCTGCCCTCTAACAGTTGTCAGTCTGTTCCATGCTTCTGTTTCTATTTTTTTCTTTAATTTATTTATTAGATTCCACATATTAGTGAGATTATGGTATTTGTCTTTTTCTGGCTGACTTACTTCATCTCACTTAATGTTCTCCAGACCCATCCATGCTGTGGCAAAAAGTAAGATTTCCATCTTTTTTTATGGCCAAGTAGTATTCCATTGTGTAAATGTACCACTGCTTTTTTATCCACTCATCTACTGATGGGTACTTGGGGTGTTTCTAGATCTTGGCTATTGTAAATAATGCTGCAATGAATATAAGAGTGCATATATTCTTTTGAATTAGTGTTTTGAGTTTCTTAGGATATATTCCCAGAAGTGGGATTGCTGGGTCAAATGGACTTTGGTTCTTGTGTTCTTGAGGGAAATATTTCAATCAAGAGACAAAGTGTAGAAAAGCAAGGAGGAATTTATTGACTGCAGCAAAAACATTCTAGGACCGTGAAATAAGGAAGGTCATACAAGAGCAACAGGAGAACTGAGGCTGGGCTACCTTGGCTCATTGGGAAATCAAAGAAAAGGGGCCTTGAAGACAAGTTCAGGAGGTTAGCACGGGATGAGATGCCGCTGCCCATTGCTTCCTCGGTTGCAAGTCTCATGAGGTCCCTTAGAGGTTAGGGGACATGTACCTGTGGGGGAAGGAGAGGAGCAGGGGGAAGGGAATGGCATGGGCACTGGGACTTTCATTTTCAGGGGTTTCAAAGGTTGGGTGTTTAAGGGAGTTCTTAGGGGTGGATCAATAGAATATTCATCAGTTTTATGCTGATATACCAAAAAATGAGCTTTATTTTCTTAATTTGTCTGTACTTGGGTGTGGTTGGCAAATGGCACTTAGTTGGATTTCTATTATTTGTCTCCCTGAATAGGGTGATTTGATCTATCAATCCTCTGGTTGGGGAGAAGTGCAAACCATTTACTCTTAAGTGTCCTTGGTTTAGGGAAGATAGAATTTACTAGGTGGCTGAAAACTGCTGTTTAACTGTTTGTCTTAGTGTCCCTATTCCACTTCTCCTGGAATTTTCCTAGCTGCCTACTGTATCATTATCTAAACTACATAACAAATGCATATTTATTTATTCATTTTTTCTGAAATTTAACAAGAGTTTACTTGAGCCAAACTAAGAAAATATGCCAGGGAGCAAGATCTCAAATGCTCTGGAGAATAACAATTTTTTAAATACATATTTTTTTAAAAATAATTTTTTTCAATTAGTTGACATACATTATATTAGTTTCAGATGTACAACATAGTGATTAGACATTTATATAATTTATGAAGTGATCACCCCCCAAAATGTACCCATATGACAACATATATAGTTATTACAATATTATTGACAATATTGCCATACTTCACATCCCCATGACTATTTTGTAATTACCAATTTGCACTTCTTATAATTCTTCCTCCTTAACAAATACATAATTTTAAGAAAGAAGACTCAGATTTCCTATCTATTGTTTTGAACAGATTTTCATATCTTATTTTAGAGAGAAAGGCAAGTTGTAGAAGAAATAAGATACAGTTATGGGCCTCTTAATGATGGGGATGCATTCTGAGAAATACGTCAAAAGTGACATCATAGAGTGCACTTTAACAACCTACATGGTATAGCCTACTACACACCTAGGCTATATGATGTAACCTATTGCTCTGTAGAGGAGAAAAACATAATTTCTTCTCTACCCTGCTGGGTTCTTGACAAGACATCTCTGTATTTGAAGATTAACAGGAGAAAAAGAAACAAAAGCTTAATAACATGTATACCTCCTGTATACATGGGAGAGACTGTAAAACGGAAAAACTCACCAAAATGGCTGAAGCCACCACCTTAAATACCACCCTTAGCTAAAGACAAAACAAGATATTGGGGGTGGAAGGAATCAGTTATGGGAGGTTACCAGGAAAAGCGTAACAGAGAAAAGTAAGGTTGTTATGTAAATTTTATATCTTTGTCTTCTGCATTGATAAGAGTTTCTTGAGACAAGGAGGGAGACACCCTTACAAACAGAAGTTTCCTTTACTAGTGTAAATGTCTCTTACAATGAGTAACTTCTACTTGGTTTTCAAAGACATTATTTTTGTATTACAAATTCTGTTCCCCTAAGCTGCAAACCTGCACAGCATATTACTGTACTGAATATTGTAGGCAATCTATAATAATAAAAGGGTAATATGTTAATTAGACCGGTTGTCCTTCCAGGCATCATTCTGGATGTCCTTCTGGACGAAAATGGGGCCTGGGTCTCCTGCCGGTGGTTGGAGGTAAGCAGCCTGGGTCCTGGGTGCCGGAGGGAAGGCGGTGCTGGCGGAGGGAGGGTGGGAGGAGAAGGCCTACTCTTGCACAAATTTTCGTGCATCAGCCCTCTAGTTGTAACATAAAATAGTATTTGAGGATTGCATTGCGATAAAACATGAAGCCAGCTTGTAAGTCACAAGGGATAGGAATTTTTCAGCTCCATTAAAATCTTGAAGGAACCACCATGGTATATGAAGTTATTAGTTGACTGAAATCTCTTTATGCAGCTCATGACTATATTTGATGCTATTTTTAAGAAAAATTATTAAGACTGAAAAGTAAATTTTACCTAGGATATATTTTTTTGTAGGGGGTTGGATTAAGCCAAAGGAGTAAGGTAGAGGCCAGAGAAGGGGAAAAGTTAAACAATGAGCATTCACCGCGCCAGTGAGGCCCCGCCCCCCAAGCCCAGGTCCCGCCCCAACCCCCGCCCATTGGACGTACACCCGTCCCCAGCCCTGTCCATTCCCCCAACTCCACTCGCCGGTCCTTCTGACCCAACCCCATAGCCTAACCTCACCCCCTCAGGCAATTAAACTAGAATTTCTCCTCTCCTCCGAGGTTGGACATATAAGTCAACCTCCCAGCACTGTCCGAACCTTCTCTGGACCCGAGAACCAAAGCCCCGGCTACTTCCGTTCCCGGGGTCCCAAGACCGGAAGCGGAAGTGCGCTGGGGCAACGGCGGCGGCGGCGGCGG